GGGCGCCAAATTGGTTAGGGCTGGGCTTGACCACGGTGCTACAACCTTTCCACCAAATTTGACCTAAAATCTGCCAATGCATATTAGAAATATCCTGCTAATAGCATTTTAGTAGTTTATAACCTCCCTGGTGGAGCAGTGGCCCTTACGTGATGCTGTTCTGGTGAAGGGTGTTAAGCTCGCTGCTATCTTCCTCAGTAGCCCTCTTGTCCAGGTTTTGGAAGTGTTGCATGGCTGACATGCTGCTCTTTAAGGTCTGCTTGGGGATGTCCAGTTTCTTTACAAACTCCAGGGCTCCTGGACCCTTGTAGGTGTACTGGTAGGGGCAACAGTCATGACCCTGGGATTAGAAATAAGATTGAGGATGTAAGTACAAGGTAATATATGAATATTGAAGTTCATTATGGCTGTATCTGTGTCCATAAAGGTGCATAACGATATTTGACAACCCAAAATTAATAACAGCAAGAGCAACAGATACATTTGAAGACTTCACTGCCTTTGAATTCTGTGTGCTTGACTAAGAGGAAAGCAAAAGCAATCAGAACTGGGATAGTGGTTTGTGTCCCTATGACATAACTTTAGTCCAATTACAAAAAGGCTTACTAAAATTCAACCTTTCACTTAATTATTGTAAGAATTCAAAATATCACAACATAAAAACTAAAGTACACAAAAGTTAGAATTCAATCAAGAAGCACACTTTTGTCCACTTTGAATGAAGTTACGATGTTATAATGATTTTCAAGGTAAAATTACCTTTACCAAGTAATAGTGATATTATACTGTACTGTATACTGTTTCTGGTTAAACAAAAGGTCTATCTCCTTAGGGATCCTTACCATAATATTGTCAGACACTTAGAATAACAATCTGAGCCTGTCAGTGGCAAAAACAACTATTAGTGGACGGACTTTGCCGTGTTGGTTGACGTTAACTTACACTGTGGCCACTTTCAACTAGGTGAACTGAGGGTTTATTTTGACCAAACCAGCGTTTGTGATTAATGGAAAAACTGGAAAGACAGTTTTGATGAGTTTTACTTTGTTTCTGTCCAGTGTGAAGTGCTGGCTTCACTTCACAGACCAGGAAGCTCTGCCTACTATTACAATCAATGAGTTATTGTTTGGGTTAGGCTCTCTTCTATGGCCAAAGCCAAAACGGTGCTAAAAAATGCTACAAAGCTCTACAGAGTTTCAGGGTTCATCAATGTGAGGGACTGCATTAACTTTTTATCCATATTGATTATTACATGATAAAATTAAGGTGCAATAATCAATATCAATCAATATATTATTGCTGCTGGACACACACACACACACACAGCCAGTGGTAGTTACCGCAGCAACAATCTCAGTGGGGCTGACATAGAGCACACTCAGCAGTGGCAGACGGTCAGTGGTCAGCTGGGTTACCCTGAAACGACAGAGGTGAGAAGGTTTTGGTGATGTAATGTGAAAAGTAATGACACTGAATTAAGAGCAAGAACTTGTGGAGCCATGAAGTGATGCTGGCCTGCCAAATAAGCTGATTTATGTTGGAAATATATCTATTATTGATACATTGTTGAACAACACTTCTTAAATGAAATGACTTGAATGATTTTGATTTCAGCTGAACATTAATACCGATCATCATAACGATGGAACAAGTGGCTTGGTAGCAGTACTCACTCCTTCCCCTTGGCGGCGTCAACCACAGTGATGCTGCTGTTGTGGGCCACCCAGGCCAGCTGGTCTCCGCTGGGGGAGAAGGAGACGCTGTGCACCCAGCCTCCACAGTCTTTATGCTCCATCAGCATCTCCCCAAAAGGCATTTTGGCTCCCCAGGCAGTAGGTCCGGGCTTGTCCTCAATATCCTTGATGTAGGCTGAGAAAACCCTGAGGAGCACAGCATAGAGATCTGTTATAGTTTGTCAACTTTGAAAGCCAACATTGGGTTGCTTGCTGCTTAGACTAATATTGTCTGATACATTTGAAAATAAGCTTCCTTTTCTGCCCTAGTCTGGCTTTTATACCAAACCTTTAAAGCTGCAGTAGGTAACTTCTATAAAAATAACTTTTTGTTATATCCTGACAGTAGTACATGAGACAGATAATTTGTGAAAAACCAGGTTTCTCTGGTTCCTCCTAGTGCTCCTAATGGCATTTGCAAGAATCCACCAGGCCTGAATGAAAACAACTAATCAGAGCAGAGAAAGCAAATGTCATTAGAAGCACTAGGAGGAGCCA